GGCCATTGTTTCGTCTTTATTCGGTTTGTTTCGTTTCGATTTGCTTTATTTATCTTTTTGTTTCGTTTCGGGTTTTTTTAATGAAGTTGATCTGTGATTAATAATTAACGTGTAAATATACTTCAGACAATCTTTTCACTTACAAAGATAGACGGATATCTTCTACTTAGCAAACTCAAATTTGAAATGACCATGAAACTAGATGAGAGCGAAGTCAAGACTTCCACAGGCCAAGGTACATTTAACCCTCTTTCTTTGAAATAATGACCATTGGACGAGTTCCGCAATTCTACAAACGCTTTTATTGAGCCTCATTTTTCAAATGGAATTATATACTGCTTTGAAGAACCTTTTTGATGTAAAATGGTGGGAACTAGCGGTAAACTAGTGTGAGCTGCGTTGGTGTTTCTAAAGAAACAGTTGTGTAAAGAAGATAAGTTTAACACCGTAAAAAAGTATGGGAAATAACTTACTGACGTTTCGGATGTTAATCCTTCGTCGGAGTAATCCGAAACGTCAGTAAGTTATTTCCCATACTTTTTTACGGTGTTAAACTTATCTTCTTTACACAACTTCTTCTTTTTGATGTATTAGCTCTAGCTGTAAGAAAGAAAAACAGAATCTTCTTCTTCTTTTTCTTACACTTCTGAGGAAAGATTTKTTCTTTTGGAACTAAAAAAAAAGTTTCTTTCTGAGATAACCTCAGAATATATAGCTTTGATATTTGTCGTTTGAGTATTTCCTTTTATTATATAAATTATTATGAAATACCAGTGTATCTTTCGCGCGAACAAAGTGAAATCTTTCACACGTGAAAATAACATTAGCTACTCAAGTTTTGCACTAACTTTATCTTGTTAGCTAATACTAATTATTAGATGTTAAATTGCATTTTTCCAAATACTGTTCTGATCTTATTGTTCTGATTTTTTTTGATAATCTCATTTTTTAATAACATGCTCAAAATACATCTGACCATCTTGAAAAAGCAGCTCTCGCAATCTCCGAGTTGTGTTGCCATTGGCAGCTTGATTTTCATTGAAGTGGATCTGTGATTAATAATTAACGTGGAAATATACTTCAGACAATCTTTTCACTTACAAAGATAGACGGATATCTCTACTTGAGCAAACTCAAATTTGAAATGACCATGAAACTAGATGAGAGCGAAGTCAAGACTTCAACAGGCCAAGGTACATTTAACCCTCTTTCTTTGAAATAATGACCATTGGACGAGTTCCGCAATTCTACAAACGCTTTTATTGAGCCTCATTTTTCAAATGGAATTATATACTGCTTTGAAGAACCTTTTTGATGTA